ATCTTTTGCTATGACAAACAATGCCTCATTTAGTACTTAGGCAGGCATACCTGTCAGGTATTTTTCTAGAAATGGGATTTCTACGTCAAGGATAAACGTTTGGGAGACATTACCGAATGCCCCTCCACAGGGGTTGTATCATTTTGCATTCCTACCAGCAATGTATGAGAATACCCATCTCCCTCTGATTTCACCACAAAATACAGTGTCAAACATGTGGATGTTTTAACAATCTGATAGGTTAAGAACTGGTCCTTAAGGATAGTTTCACTGTGAATTTCTTTTACTATAAATGAGAATGATCACCTTTTTATCTGTTTGGAGATCATTTTAATTTCCTTTTTCATACATGTCAATTGTCTATTTTTCTATTAGGTTGTTTATCTTTTCTTCTTTGTAGAAGGCTCTTCCCATATTCAAGAGCTTACCCCTTTGTTTTTACAGGCATTACCAATATGTTCCCCCTCCAATTTGTCATGTCTTTGAATTTTGCTTAAGGTAAAACACAATGATTTCAAATAAAGTATATGTGTTACAAAAATTATCAGCAATTTGTTTGGATAGAGGTCAAATTTTCCAGAATTAAAAAAAAATTTTTCCCCAGGTTTATGCAATCATTGTAGAAATGGAATTTGAATTTATTTTTTAAATTGCAGGCTCATATAGCTTCATTAAGTAGCTTCCTTACAAAAAGAAAATCTCTTGGGGCGCAGTGGGTAGCTCAGTCGGTTAAACGTCCGACTCTTGATTTCAGCTCAGGTCATTATCTCACAGTTAGTGAGTTCAAGTCCCACATGGTGCTCCATGCTGACAATGTGGAGCCTGCTTAGGATTCTCTCTTTCTCTCAGTCTCTCTGCCTCTCCCCAACATGTGTGTGTGTGCATGCTCTCTCTCTCAAAACAAAGAAATAAACTTTAAAAAGAAAAGAAAACCTCTCAAATGTTAGCTTTCTGAAGTGGAAAGAGCAAATTTTTATCAAAAACCATGAAGTGCATATGTCCAACCATATCTATATATGCATGCTGATAGTAAGGCAATAGAGAATAGGAAGACAGTGGAAAGGGAGATAAAGGGTTGAGTAAGGAAGAAAGGTAAACGTAGTGAGATGGATAATATGATTGAATACGAAACATGGAGAGAGAGTTCTAGACTAGTAAAGATGTCTAAGATCATCCACAAAATTTAGAGATAATGAAAAGAGAACAATGCCATGTTACCATATAGTACCTGATTCAGGCTAAATATAGTAAATATACTTTAACCACTGAATAAATAACTGATTACCTACTATGTAGATGATATAGTGCCAAAAATCACAGGGGTTACAATTTACTTACAAAAGCAAGACATTTAATTGCAAAAAGGTAATAAATACAGAAGTTTAAAAATAGAACAACACAACAAAGCAACTATTTTCTTGTTAGGACACAAAAAGAACCAAAATATTTAAATTCAATGAGTCTTAACCACAATGATAAAAGACTATGGAAAACATAAGACATGTAAAGAAAAAACTCAAAGAAAAAGTATTTTAAGTAGACAGATCTAAAACCAAAACTACTTTTACGTAGACAGGTCTAAAAACAATAACCTTATCTCTTGGCTTTTTCCGAAAATCAGTACCACCACTGGACATTTTACAAACTTTTTTATAAGGTGTGTGATTCAAAAGTACAAGCTGGTTAGGCTGAGAAAGATCTTCCAGAATAAGTTTTTCAGACCTTGAGAGATTAGAGGTATAATCAGAATTTTCACTTGGACTAACACTAGAGAAAAAAGAAAAATACATTTTAGTTTCTAGATGATTTAATATTCACTCCAAATTTCTATACACTAAATACGAAAACAGAAAGAAAAGCACCTGAAGTGCTGCTAAAAATCACATTCAGTTCTGAACTTAAGGGAATGTCTCAACTAAATTTCTTAATAAACTGTAATTACTCTTAAAACTAACAATCTCTGTAGTCTAGAGACTTTATATGCTACAATTACTTAAGATTCAAAACACAGTCATGATAATAAAAGATTATTTAAGCCCAAAACATATATTTTATACTTTGAGTCCTAATACAGTAAAGGTGTTAACATACAAATGCTTCCCCAATATTTCTAGTTTTTTCCCTAAACCAAGAGTTACATTAAAAATTACAGAAAACTGGGGCACCTGCGTGGATCAGTTAAGCATTTGACTTTGGCTCAGGTCATAATTGTGCAATTTCTGAGTTTGAGCCCTGTGTCAGGCTCTGTGCTGACAGCTCAGAGCCTCGAGCCTGCTTCCCTCTCTCTCTGCCCCTCCCCTGCTCTTGCTCTTTCTCTCAAAAATGAGTATTTTAAAAAAGTTACAGAAAAATCATTTCCTATTCTAAATATGTATTAGAAACAAAATATATAATAATGAAATTCATACATTTTACATTCATAAACTAAAGTCATATTCTAAAGTCTACATATGATTTTTACTTACTTACCTGGATAACTCTTCCCCTAAACTCTGCAAACTCCATTCTGTTATCTTCAGTTCATGTCTTAAGGAAGCAACATTTGCAAGCAAACTTTCTTCTTCGTGGTCTTTATTACAGTAGTATGATGAGCTAGATTCCATTTCTTAAAAAATGAAATGAATTTCTTGTACCTTGATGGAAAGAATCTGAGGTGTCAGTCAAATACTCTCACACTAATAGAATTTAACTCATTATTTTTCTATTTATCTCAAATGTTGTACAATCTTTCATAGTCATTTAAAACAAAAAACCCCAGTAACAATGAATTTCCCTGCACTCTCAAGACATAAATTGGAAAGTTCAAAAGAATTTCAGAGTCCACTTTTTATTATATACAGGGTCTAGTTATACTAGTCTCCCTTTTCCAAGCACGTTTAATCTTTCTAACAATTGTGTGCATTAAGCATTTTTATTCCACGTCTAAGATGAACAAACTAAGAATGAGATAAACTGAATAATTTACTCAAGGTCACACAAACTGTAAATGGTGGAAACAAGATTTGAACCTAAGTTATCAGGATCCAAAGACCTTTCAATTATGTCACACTATAATTTCTAACTTATTATAAATCAATTTCAATAGGAGTTGTTTGAACTTACATAATCAAGTTAAAAGTTCTAGAAATCTGATAAAAATGGTATCCTTACAGTCATTCATATTTTCTTAAAGGCAATTTATTACCAAGTAAAGATTAACTCCTTCTCCCATTTACAATGGTTATAAAACTAAAAAAACACACAGAGCCACATCACAACCTTAGGGATCAAAATGTCATTTGGCAAGTTAACTTCTGGAAATACATGAAAAAAAGCTTTTCTTTCTCTAACTCATGAGTATCTCTGGAGTTGTGAAATTCTCTATAAATGACCTTTGCACATAAAAAATTGTGACTAAGGGCTATATTTTATTATTAAGATTAATACATAAAATCATTATGCTTTAAAATACATAATACCTAACATAATAAAAACTAAGGCTTTAAAATCTCTACTACTCCTGTAAATGTTTCTGCACCTTAAAATTACATTCTTCTTTCAAATCCCATTTACCTTTGTCATTGTAGCATCTCTCTTTCATCACCCTTCTAGAATTCTGACCACATCCTAAGCTCCACAAGGTAGGTGTCCTGTGTATTATGTTCAGGACTGTAAGGCACTTGCAGAAGCTCAATATGTTTAGTGAATAAATGATGACTCCTGAATTGCCCTTCATTTCCCTCATCCAACGAAAATCGTTTGGTAAATTTATTTCCCACTCAAAATTTCTCAGATGTGAGGAGGAAGATTAAAAAGAAAACCCTCACCTTATTGGAAGAAACTGGCAGGAAATTAAATGAGACTCTATGTAGTCGCAGAGAAAATAGTTCTTTTTTCCCCTTTCGTTTACACAAATTTGTTTCTGCTTAAGTGAGAAGACTCTCCCATACAAGTCAATGGATCAGGTCCCCATTTTGATCTACATTTTCAACATCTCTAGCCTCCTAAAGGATGGTGAAGAGAAAAAGGTACAGACAGCTTGGGTAAATGATAAAATGCCATTCGATATTACGTTTCAACTAAATCAGGTTTGGGGTCCAACATCTGTGTATTTTAATGTAACAATTCCATAACATTTAGGTACACACGAATATATTTGCTTCAAATTTTTTTTTCCTACTAGAGTATTTACTGTCAAAGATTTTTTTTCTTTCCTCCAATTTATTAGTTATAAAAGTCTATCTTCACATACGTAGGAAAGTATTTTTGGCCCTAACAACGCGTTTGTAGCTTTACGCACGCATACCCATCAACACCGAAGAACAAGATGCTGTTTATAAACCTTGTAAGTTAACAGGATGGGCTGTAGTCTTAAAAGAGTCCTCATTTTGCAAGGAGGTCATAGATTCGTGTTGTACTGTCCTGTTATCAAGTACTCTCAATTTGACAGAATTAATCCTACATTCATCTGGAAGCAGCAGAGAAAAACAAGACCTCTTCCTCCCGGATTTCTCAAGTAAAACAGAACCCTGCAGAGCAGCCTGCGCGGTAGGGGTGAAGACGACGCGCGTCCGAGGATGCTGGGAGGGAAGGGAACATAACTCCAGGTAGGCCTGTTTCTACCCCCCAAAGAGCAGTCACTCACCACCCACCTCGTAGTTAGGAGACAGACCCACCTGACAACAGCACGCACTGCGCTCTCATCCGCGTTCGGAATCTTAGGGCCCCCTCCGGAGCTCGGGTAGTGGAAGCATCAGACACTCCACGCGGGGGACAAACGAACCACAGCTGCACCGACTTCGAACCGCCGCGGGAGCCGTTGAGGACACGCCTCCCGGGCCGCAGACACGCCCCTGCGCAGGCTCTGCATGAGGTGACGCCGTGGCGCGGGGCCTGTCGGGGATCCTGGTGTGCGAGCGCATCCAAGCCCGCTCGCCCGGAACTACATTTCCCACAATTACCTCTACGACGCCCATTGGTGTGGGAGAAGCCATGGGAACCTGCCTCCTGGGTGAGGCGGGGCGCGCTCTCGACCAACCTGAGGGGGCCGAGACCCAGGCGAGTGCGGAAAAGGACTGCTGGCCCCGCCCCTCGGTCTCTACCCTTTGGAGGCCAGCGTTTCCCGCTCTGAGTGCTCCTGTGCGGCCGCCACCCGGGGTTCCTTCAGGCTCCTGGTTTCCCTACCAAACACGAGGAATCCGGGGAGGAAAAGCAGAGCCTGGGTGCCAATAACGCACACCTGCCGCGTCTCTTCCAGCCCAAGATCGTCCCGGCAGGGATGGGCGTCAAGACCTGGCTGCCCTTCCTGGTGCTTCTCCTGGCTATTCTGTACCCAGTGCTGCTGCCGGTGGCTGCCACCTTCACGCCCTCCTTAGACAGCGACTTCACGTTTACCCTTCCGGCCGGCCAGAAGGAGTGTTTCTACCAGCCCATGCCCCTGAAGGCCTCGCTGGAGATTGAGTACCAAGTAAGTGCGGAGGGTAAGGCAGCCTGTCTTATCCTAGCTACACCGTCTTCGCCTCTCACCCTCTTAAAAACTTCTTGTGGACTGCCGGGGTGGTGAACAGGGGAGGGCCTCGGGGTAGCCGACCAGCTCGGCGCAGGCGCACGAGCCTTGGTTCGCCTGGGGCCGGGGACCGAGAAGTTAGGCGGGACCTGGATGGAATTGACTACCCGCCTTCTCTCCCCTTTCCTCTGGTCGGACAGAGGCCAGTACTGGTGATCTCGGTGGCTTCCCTCTTTGTTTCATAATTCACCCATCGCCTTGCTAACCAGCACATGCTCCAGTACTGGGAATTTCGCAATACAGGACTGATAACACGTTCTTCTTCATCATTGGCGGAGATGGTGACACTTGTTTTGTTACCCCCACCACGCTCACCCAATTCCGGTATTATAAATCTTCACTGTCATTGCTTCAGCTAAGGACTTTTGAATTGTGAACATGTGGTTATCACTAAATCCGATTTTGGAATATTTTGAAAGGAGCTATTGATGTATTTAATGGTACATTTCCTTCTCAGATATCTATTTTTAAATCAGGTATTATCTAATTGTATATTAAAACTTTATAACCTTTAATTCAGTATCGTAAGCATTTCTCCCATTGTTTTCTTTTTAGTGTCTGCATAATATGATGTAGGGATTTGCTTTAATTGATGTAGTCATCGTGGTAGAGGATAATATAAGAAATCTTGTTAGTTCAACACAGCTAATTTTAATGTTTCTAGGTAGCACTGCAAAAAAGATGTGTTGGTGTGGTTCGTCTTTTAATTTTTCACAAATTACTTTATTTATAATCAGATGTTAACTTTTTAAAGTTGGTGTAAGGAATCTTTTCAACAAGTTACAGTCACGTATAGAGCAAAATAAAAAGTTACCTAGAATTTACATCGGAAGGAACTTTAGAATTAAATTATAGATACTTAAGGTAAGCAATAGCGCAGTATCTAAGGTTACATAGTGAGCAAAACTGAGGCTAGAACACAGTATTTGATTTCCACTGTAGTTCAAAAACTCATTTACCATGTGCCAGTAATTGGCGAGGGTGAAGGGTCAGGGGTGGGGACATGTGGGACGAGTGTGGAAGAGAGGACCCACGATGACACAGACAAAAAAAAAAGTTCCTGTTTTCAGGGATCTTATTATTTAAGGGATACTGGCCAATAAACAGGTAATTTCAATAAAGTGTTAAGTGCTGTTAGAGAAGAGCCACTTCTGGGATCTCAGAAAAGAATTCCTGGAGAAAATAAATTTGAATCTAAAAAGATGCTTAAGTGAGACAAGAATGCAAGGAAGGAGGGGCACTTCAGGAAAAGGAAAAAAAATGAATTTTAGTTCTAAAAATGCATAGTATGTTTTGTGGGTGGGCAGTAATGTGGACACAAGTGCCGAGTCTTTATTAGACTTTTAAGACTGTAAAGTCTAGGGTGCGAATAGTAGTAAAAGAGATTGGAGGGGCCAGGAGGCTGGATCAGGATCGTGAATCTCTGTGTGCCATACTGAGTGGCTTTGCTCTTGTTCTGTACAAGGGCCATTGAAGATATAAGCAGCATGGTAACAGTCAAAAATGTTTTTCAGATAGATCACTGGGTACAGTGTGGAAGATGGATTTAAGGAGGGCAAAATTAGAGGCAAGGAAACCAACTGGGGGTTAGTGAAATAATCCAGGTAAGAAAACAATATGTATTATTCAAAAATTCCTTAGTATATATCCAAGTATTAGGGAGGAAATGTGTATTAACTACTGACCTTTTATGGTTATACTAGACTTCTAGAGATGAAAGGCCTGAGTTGAAATCCTAACTATGTGATTTTGAACAGTTACTTAACCTCTCATTTGTAAAATAGAGATAATAGTAATTAGCTCATAGAAGTGATTTGAAAAATTGAGTTAGTAATTGTTTATCGGCCATTCCTGACACATAGAAAATAGGTACTAAACGGTAGTTTTTCTACATTTACACTTCTTGAGTCAAATAGCTGGCTTCATTTAGCTTTATACTTTGCATCTTTAGTCACTCTTAAAGGGACTCTTCCCCCACTGCATTCCCCCTAAACAACAGAATTGTTCTTGTGGGGTGGAGGGAGGAGGAAAATCATTTAATGTCTGGAGTCGTAGACAATGTTGGAGGGCTTTCTAGGGTAAGGGACAATCTTCAACTTTTTGTTTGCATTTTCCAACTCCATGATTAATTTTAGAATAACAACAAACTACTACTTTTTGTTTTCATTTTTAAAATATCAGGGAACAGACATTCCAGACATGGCCTTCGGGTTACTGTGACTTATTGAAAACTTTTAACCATTTCTTACTTTTCAAGTTTAAGAGGATACTTTTAAAATAATTAACCAGATGCACATTATATTAAGTTCTTTAAAACTTTTTAATGATTTTTTTAAAGTTTATTTATTTTGAGAGAGAGAGAAAGTGGGGGGGGGGGGGGGGCGGGGAGGCGAGAGAGAGATTCCCAAGCAGGCTCTTCACGGTCAGTGCAGAGCCCAACAAGGGGCTTAAATCTACAAAGTGTGAGATCATGACCCGAGCCAAAGTCAGAAGCTTTAACTAACTGAGCCACCTAGGACACCCCAGGTCTTAAAAATTTTAAATGTCAATACATATATCTTATGAATAAAATAGATCATTTAACTTTTTAAATCATTGCTGAGTGCTTAATTTGTGTGAGTACTATGCTAAGTGCTATGGATACAATGATGAGTAAAAAACCAGTGCATGTTCTTATACAATCTAGTACAGAAACAGGAATGAAATTGTTACACAAATAAATGTAAATTGTAACTAATGAAGGTAAGTATATACAGCTATGAAAGTATTTAACAGGACTTAATTTTGGGGCGTCTGGGTGGCTCAGTTGGTTGAGCCTCCAACTTCAGCTCAGGTCATGATCTCAGGGTTCGTGGCTTCCAGCCCTGCGTCGGGCTCTGTGCTGACAGCTAACTCAGAGCCTGGAGCCTGCTTCAGATTCTGTATCTCCCTCTCTCTCTGACCCTCCCCTGCTCATGCTCGCTCGCTCGCTCTCTCTCTCTCTCAAAAATAAAACATTTAAAAAAAAGTTCGTAAAAAGGAGGATTTAAATTCATCTGGAAATTGACAGAAGACATTCCATTTTTTTCCTTTTTATTTTATTTATTTATTTATTTTTTGAGAGACAGAGGAAGACAGAGCATGAGTCGGGGAGGGGCAGAGAGAGGGTAGGACACAGAATCGAACCAGGCTCCAGGCTCCGAACTGTCAGCACAGAGCCCAAAACGAGGCTCCAACCCACAAACCGTGAGATCATGACCTGAGCTGAAGTTGGACACTAAACCAACTGAGCCACCCAGGTACCCCTAAAATGATATTTAAGAATACAGAAGATAACTTAAATTACATAAAATACAATTTTAAGATACAAAATATTTATTTAAAAATATCATAATCTGAAAGTAAACTTCCTGATGATTTCACTGAAAGATGAAAGTGCCACTTTCCCTAATCTGTACTCTTATTGTTAACAGTCGTTCAGTTCCTGTAAGGTTTTCTTCTGTCTTCTTCCTCGATGCCTTGGCACATGAATTCTTGACACACGACCTGAGCCGAAATCAAGAGTTGGACACTTAACTGAATGAGCCACTCAGGGGCCCACCCCCCAGTTCTAGTTATTTTGCAGTTCTCTACTACTTATCATTGGAAGTTTCTGGGTTGTGCTATTTAAATCCTTTGAAAAAGTCAGTAGGATTTTTACTTTTTTTTTTTTTTCCTCATTTATCCTGCTTCACATCTATTAGTCCCTTCCAGCCTATAAAGATTTTTATCTTTTGAAGCAAGAATTTTTGTTCTGTTTGATGATTTCCTCCCTTCATTTCTCTTGGTTCTCTTCTTTGAACTGCTTGTTAGATATTTGAAATCTTTAGCTCTGTCCTTCATGAATGATCTTAAAATTTCCCTCATACTTTTCATCTGTACTTTTTCACCTTGTTCTGAGAATTCCTTGGTTCCTTCCAGTTTGCTGATTTTTAGTCTCTATCCATATTCATTCTGTCATTACATTTGTTAAATACTTTGGCAACTTTTTAAAATCTTTTTAAGAACTTAGTTTTTCATACTAGGAACCTCTTTTTTATGGGTTACACATTCTGGAATTTCTCTAAGGATATATATTCATCTGAGGAAACTTTTTAAAGTCTGTTTATATTAACTATTTTTTCAGAACTTAATTCTTCCAGAAAAACCAATAACATGAAAAATGGGGCATTGATTTCTTTTTTTTTTTCCTTCAGTTTATTTATTTTGAGAGAGAGAGATTGAGAGTGCAAGATAGGGAGGGGCAGAGAGTGGGGGAGAAAGAATCCTGTGCTGTCAGCGCAGGGCCTGATGCAGGGCTCAAACCCACACACTGTAAGATCATGACCTAAGCCAAAATTGAGTCAGACGCTTAACTGACTGCGCCTCCCAGGCACTGATTTCAACAAACATGTTTCTCCTGTCTGTTTCAGTAAGAATTTTGAGATTGATAGCTATTGGTCTCCAGATATAACCTTTGCTCAGTGAAATATCTTCCAGAATATCTATCTTCAAGTCTGTTAACAGTCTTCCCTAGACTTCCAGTGTTGTTATGGAATATTTATATCGTTACATATATTCTTTTTTTCTTTGGGATGTAAAGAATAAAAAGAATTCTGTATATTTTTAGCTAGCCATTTCAAACTACTACTGTTGATAAGTAAGTAGAGCACAGGAATAGGTAATTTTTTATATCATTCCATTAAAGCCACCAAAATAAATAAATAAAATGGAGTGAAATAAGAATGGAGTGCCTGCTATTGCAGGCACATTGCTGAGTTCAAGTTTTGGCCATGCCATTCATTTGCTGTATCACCGTGGGGAAATTATTTCTGTATGTCTCACTTTTTTGGTGTTTTTTTTTTTTTTTCCAGTTAATTGGTTCTTCTGTTTATTTTCCTGAGAATAATAATAAGACCTACTTCTTAGAGTTATTGTGAGGAAATTAACCCGCATAAAGTACTTAAAACAATGTGTGGCATACACTCTAATTGTTACCTATCATCATCATCAAGACATTTTGGGAGTTTGAAGGAACAGATTGTGTTCTTTGGCCAGTAAACAAACTACCTAGTTGGAATATTCAATTCATATTGGGGAATAATATGTGAATACACTTAAGTCAGTTGGGGTCAGATCACGGAAGTTTTGAGTTCTGTGCTAATAGTTAATTATTATTTTATTGAAGAGGAAACAGAAAAGTTACATGGCTTGCCCTAAATTGCCTACATAAGGTCTATCATTTGAACTCCTTTCGTGTTTCTTTCCACTCTACGGGGCTTGTCAACCAAGGCACCATTTTAGGAAGATTATTTCAGTAATACTTAGAAGGCCTAAATTTAGGTGATGGCAATAGGAATTGGTAAGAAAGTTCCAAAAATGAATGGAACTGAATAGATGGTCTTTCTGCTCTTTTCTAGCCCTTACATACATCTTGTTTCCTGCCGTGCCTCTCTAGGTTTGGAAAGAAAATCTTTTCATCACATGACCCTCTATATATTTTTTATTCTCAGTATTTGAAATGTGTTCTTCTCTTTTGTGCTTTTCTACAGGTTTTAGATGGAGCAGGATTAGATATTGATTTCCATCTTGCCTCTCCAGAAGGAAGAACCTTAGTTTTTGGACAAAGAAAATCAGATGGAGTTCACACGTAAGTGATCCCTTAGTTGAATTCCTTGGGCTGAATAATATTAATGGGCTATCTGCAAGGCAGGGAAATTGAGCACATTTGATACTAAACATTAGTATTAAATGATTCCGTATGAGCATTTTAAACAGTCTTTGAGAGTGGTCTATCATAAGCTAAAATGTCTTTAACTTTTTTCTCTTTTTTTAGGCATTTTGTATTAATCCTAAATTTTTTCTTTACTTTGGTTAAATAGGATAAGTATACCCTAGGTATTGAATTCAGTCTACTGTGGCATTTTAAACCTGTTTTTCTGGTTAGCACAACCTTTCCATTTTCAGTTACTGTTCAGGTAGATATCCTATAGTTTTTTTTAGCTGTTGGCTATATCATATTAGTCCACTGTTTCCTTGCTTTAAAAAACAAGTACAGGGATGCCTGGGTAGGTCAGACAGCTAAGGATTCAACTCTTATGATCTCACAGTCAGGAGATCAAGCCCCTCATTAGGCTCTGCACTGGCAGAATGAAGCCTGCTTAAGATTCTGCCCCTCCCCTACTTGCACTCAATCTCTTTCTCTCTCTCTCTCAAAAAAAAAAAAAGTACAGTATGTCTTTGTACATATGTGTTGTGTATGTATGCATGTAAAAAACCTTTTTTTTTTCTTACTAAGGCCTCATTCATTTTAGATAATTAGAAGATGATATAGTAAAAGATCTGACCATAGGAAGCCAGAAAGTAACTTGTTGTAAGTTTAGAGTTTAACAAAAGGCTGTATATACTCTTACATCTCACTTCTCTTTGTTCATATCTCGTGTTTCCCTGTTACATTCTATTATTCTATTGCAGCGCTTTGTTTACTCATGTTATTGCATTAAAACTAAATTGTGAGTTTACAGTTAGAAGAAAAGCAAATACAGTCTAATTATTTGCCATAAACTAGGCTTTGCATTTTATATGCTTCTAAATTAATCATTCTAACCCACTGTGAGAGATTCTTTGATTCCTCGATTCTCATTGTACAGACAAGGAGGCTGAGAGGAGTTAGTTAAGCCTGCAGGGATACACATTTATTAAGAGGAGGCAGGATAGGAACACCTGGGAGGCTCAGTATGTTGAGCATCTGACACTTGATTTCAGCTCAGGTCATGATCTTACATTTCTCATGGAATGAAGCCCCGAATCCAGCTCTGCGATGACAGTGCAGAGCCTGCTTGAGATTCTCTTTCTCTCTCTCTGTCCCTCCCCTGCTCAAGTACCATATACACACACAAAGCAGGGCTCTCTCTCAAGTTAAAAACTTAAAAAATATATTAAAAAGTTAACATAACTAAAGATAAAATTTTGTTTAAATCTAATTTTTAGAAGGTAGGTTTGAAATTTGGTATAGTGATTAAGAGTGAGTTGTACAGCCTAGTTTTAAGTACTGGTTTTGCTGTTGACTAGCTTGGGTAACTTTCATTGACTTAATTCAGTTCTCTATGCCTCAATTTCTTTATTGGTAAAATGATAATGATAAATGTAAGTTGGTAAAATGATTAAAAAAAATAATATGTACCTCAGGACTGTGGTGAATAAAAAAATGAATACATATAAGGTGCTTAGAACAGTGGTCTGGCATATCAAGAGAACTCAATAAATGTGAATTCTTATAAACTCAGTCTTTTCTCCCAATGGTTTAATGAGAGGTACTTCTATGCAAGAAAGCAAGATACATTTTTCTCCCTAACAGTTCAATTTATCTCTAAAGGAAAGGAGGATATTAAAGAAAAAAATGGCAGAAATTCTACATATTTCTGTGCATAACTATCAAAGAAAAAGCATAGTTCCAAGTATATTAATCAAAACTGACTTTAAATTACTATTTCTCTAATTTATTAATAGTTTATACAGATATTTTTTCTAAACTCTGCATAGGTAAAATGCCATTTTAAAAAGCATTTTAGAAGTGCCTGGGTGGCTCAAGTCAGTTGAGTGTCTGACTTTGACTCAGGTCATGATCTCACAGTTTGTGGGTTCAAGCCCCATATCAGGCTTTGTGCCGATAGCTCGGAACCTGGAACTTGCTTCATATTCTCTGTCTCCCTCTCTCTGCCCCTCCCCTGGTTACTCTCTCTGTCTCTCTCTCTTTCAAAAATAAACATCTAAAAAATTAAAAAAATAAAGCAGTTTAATAAAAAAAATCAAAAATGAAAAAGTTTTAAATAAAAAAATTAAAACTAAAAACTTAAAAATATGTATAAAAATTTTAAACTAAAAAAATAGAGTATTATTGAAAAGAATATTAATTTTTCCCTCATTCATTCATACATGTATTTAGTATTTACTATCAATTACGTGCCATGTACGCTGGTTAACAAAGACAAATAACTGTAATAGCTAGTACTTTCATAGTCCTATGTGCCAGAAAGATTCTAAGCACTGTATAGTAGAACGCAAGAATTTCTTTTTTTTTTTTTGGAACACCGCTTTTTTTCTTTCATTAAAGTTTATTCGTTTGTCTTGAGAAAGAAAGAGCACAAGCAGGAAAGAGGCAGAGAGAAGGAGAGAAAATTCCAAGCGGGCTCCTCACCATCAGCACAGGGCCCAACATGGCGATGGAACTCACTAACCATGAGATCATGACCTGAACTGAGATCAAGAGTCAGACGCTTAACCGACTGAGCCACCCAGGTGCCCAGAAAGCAAGAAGTTTGATCTTGCCTCCTACTTTTTTAAATATTTACTCATTTATTTTGAGAAAGAGAGAGAGCAGGGGAGGGGCAGAGAGAGAGAGAGGATCCCAAAAAGGCTCTGCACTGCCAGCACAGAGCCCATGAGATCATGACTTGAGCTGAAATCAAGAGTTGGATGCCCACCTGACTGAGCCACCCAGGTGCCCCTAGCTCTATTAACTTTTTAAAGGCAACTAAAATATCTATTGTGACACTGAAATAGTTTTTTTGTTAAATCCTTAAATACTGTCCTTCCAGAAGGCAGGGTTAGAAAAAACATCTCCGGGGGCGCCTGAGTGGCTCAGTCAGTCAAGCATTCGACTTCGGCTCAGGTCATGATCTCACGGTTCATGGGTTTGAGCCCCGCGTCAGGCTCTGTGCTGACAGCTAATTCAGAGCCTGGAGCCTGTTTCAGATTCTGTATCTCCCTCTCTCTCTCTCTGATCCTCCCCTGCTCACATTGTCTCTCTCAGAAATAAATCAAAAACATTAAAAAAGAAAAGAAAAGACATCTCCAGAGCTATGAACAGCTTAAGTAATAGCTATTGGCTGGCACTTTTGGGAATGAGAAGTTTGCATGCGTGCGTGTGTGTGTGTTTGTGTGTATGTATTTTTCCAAACAACTGAATTAATATTACCCTAACTTACATGAGAACGTATCCATTTTGGACTATTTATGTTCTTTATTCTAATTGGAAGAAAAATTAACTGCATTTTTTATTTGGTAATATTTTGTATCATTTGTAGTAATAAAATGTTTCTACTACAAGCGGTCAATACAGATTTATAGAGAGATTAGTATAGGAATGACTATAAAGTAGTAAACATCTTTTTTTTCATACACTTGCAGAAGATCATACATGTCAGTGCTTCTCAAACTTTTTTCATTGTTATCCCTGTCCCCATGGAACCCCTCTAGACTTTCATGCCTAATCATCCCATATTTTAAAACCAGTTTTTTTTTTTTTTTTTACTGTGTCTATATCTGTACATGTAAAAAGAGTAGGTATAAAAAGCTTGCTCTGGGGTTAAGAATGGCTAAATTAAAGTTGAGGTAAATAAACTTAAGACTAAACAAAATTAAGAGTTAAATAAAAAGTGATTAACATTGAATTTTACTTTACAAATAGTCATAACATTTTTTCTTCTTTTAAAATTGTTCCCCACTGTATTTGCTAGTGTATTCTTCATGCTTCTTCCAAAGGTTAAATACATCCTCAAAGACAAAGGTTTGTCATGACTGAGGAGATTGCAAAGAATGCAGACAGGCTCTGAGCAGTATTACAGAAAAGAAAGATCAATTAACTCGAGAGTCAGAAAACCAAGCTTCGTCTATGCCTATGACAGGCTTATGTGATCATAGGCAAGTATTTTAATTTATGTGAACCTTATTTTACTTACCTTGAAAAGGTCAATTATGCCTCACTTCCAAATACGATCGTTAAGGATTAAAAGAGAATATGTGAAAGCAGCATGTAAATTATGAAGGGGTAGATAAGTATTTACTCTTTTTTATGTAGAGTATATATGTTAAAATCCAGTAAAATTGCTGAGTACTTATCTCTTACACTTAAAGTTGGAAATAGAGGTGGAAAAGAGATGGGGACTGATTTAAAAGAGGAGAATCACAATTTGTAGTGACAAGGCTGTAGAAAATTATATACGCTACCTCACTTTAAGCAATCCATTGTATTGGAGATAAGAAAATTTCATAATCATTTAGACCAACCTTCCAGGAACAGTCCCAACAAAAACTAAAGCTCACTCTCAGTGGTGGTTTTTGTGGCCAGGCACTAGTAAATGTCATAAGCCTATGCAGTATTTTTCTTGTTAAAGTTTCAAAAAAAAAAAAAAAAAGAAAACATAGGAAGCCACTTTGCCAAAGTAATTGTGCCCAGGCCAATTATCTTGAATATGAAACTAATGAGACCAAGATTATAACTTAGATGTGAGCGGCATTTATACAGTAAAAGGTAATGCCACTGACAGTAAAGCTCATCCTAACCTCTGTAAACTATGTTATAAAAATATTCTTCATCCTGGGAGGCCTAGAAGAAAGCATTTGGAACAATCCATCACTACTTTTGAAAACAAAACTCACTTTAGACAGTTATCTCAATGGAAGGGGAGGTTTGTGGTCATATTTGCATATGAATTGATTCATGATAAATTACTTTTAATAGTGTGTAAATATTAAAGATCATTCAGAGGTATCATGTATCTATATTTTTTAAATTACCCTTTTTCAAAAATTAGGTCAAGATCTTTTACCATAATTTCCTGAGTAAATGCCAAGCACATCTAAGTTGCAAGTATTTGAACATAGATATTAACAAATTACCACTTTCCCAAGAAATTATAAATTTTCTTTCAATACTAAGGAAGTCTGTCAGCAAAGTGTCCAATTACTAATGTAAACCATGCTATTTCTTCTCTTATCTCTAGTAATTTTTCCTTTGATCCTAAATAGAAGTACAGATAACTGAAGACAAACTTTTTTTTAATACAGGATAGAGACTGAAGATGGTGACTACATGTTTTGCTTTGATAATACATTCAGCACCATTTCTGAGAAGGTGATTTTCTTTGAATTAATCCTGGATAATATGGGAGAACAGGTACAAGAACAAGAAGACTGGAAGAAATATATTACTGGTACAGACATGTTGGATATGAAACTGGAAGATATCCTGGTCAGTATGATCTTTTAATAAATAAAAATTATCCACAAGCCTGACTGTGTGATAGGCACAGAAATAAGCATTTTCTCATGTAATCTTTACTTATTATGTATCTCCATCTTTCCAATGAGGAAATTGTGGCTTAGGGAGCTTAAGTAATGTTTCTTTCACATAACCAGAGAAGAGGGAACTAGAATTTGAACATGAACTCTTAATTATGAAACTCTATTAGAATATTCCCAAACAGAAGAATGTAATGATCTATAGTGTACTTGCACAGAGAATAAGAGTAATTTGTAAACACTTACGATGTAGAGGCATTTTCCTCACAGCATAGTTTTTATTTTTTAGAAAGGATATAAGCTATTTTTAAATTTTTTAACCTTTTTAAAATTTGGTATTGAGAGACGGGCAGAGCATGAGCATGAGAGGGGTAGAGAAAGGGGGAGACACAGAATCTGAAGGAGGCTGTAGGCTCTGAGCTGTCAGCACAGAGCCCAACGCGGGGCTCGAACTCACAAACTGCAAGATCATGACCTAAGCTGAAGTCAGACACTTAACCAACTGAGCCACCCAGGTGCCCCACACGGCCTCATTTTTACAACATGAAATTTGATATTACTTGGTTAATTTGGGAATACTGTTTATTTTCTCAGACCAGACCTAGCAGTTACCAGAAACTAGCAATTTACCAGGAGTAAAGCCTTTTAGAATATGGCTTCTTTGTTTGAATTACTTTATACTTTATCATTAATATGCATAGTGAAATGTGCATGTATGATTTGCTAATAATAGTACTAGCGATAGGAGGAATAGGTCAGTACCCTTCAGCCACAGATAAATATAATCAAATCATAGAATTTACTGAGTGATATTTGTAAATAACATATATAGCTGTATGATAGAAATTCCTGCAGGAAAAATAGCATGGTATTGCAAATTGAAATTGTGTAACCTCTAATACTCTTATAACCTCAACTTTTTTTTAATATGGTATTTTGATCGCTTGAGGTTTATTAGGAAAGCAGCTACCAAATTATAGCAGAGGAGACTATTATATGTAAATCAGTTAGCTTAAGAAGTTGGAAATTAAATGATCATGCATGTGTGACTGCTTAGTGACTGAGCTCTCAGAGCCTTGGTTTCCTCACCTGCAAAATGGAGCTACCACCTCTAGAGTTGGGAGGATGAACTATGATCTAGCATGTGCACAAGTGCTTTAAACAGTGTCTGGCACAAAAAATGTTAAGTGTTCTCAGCTCTTCCACTAGTGTTACTGAGAATACAAACTGAAAGGATTAAGTTTGGTATGAATTTTTACCTTAACAATTTTTCATCTTACCATGATTGCCCAGGGGTATATTTTCTTAAATCTCAGTTATTCTTCCATTTTAAATTTATTTTACCAACAAGAACAGAACACTAGTACTTATATTATTAGTACTTCACTGCATTCTCAAGAGATTGAATTTGTTCAATCTGGTTAAACAAAATGACTAGTCAGTTCAGATTTAAATATGGTTTAAGTACTTACGAGTCCTTTTTAATGAAAAATAAAATGTCTTTCAGCTTTACTTCCCCAAAAATGTAGTTTCATAACAAACTTAAGTAATTTTGTGTTTGACTATCGTTTCTATAACATTGAAAAGAACTATGCATGATCTTTTTATTTGGGGATCTGAACTCCTTATTTTTCTAAAAAAAATTTGCATTTCTAGGTTACCATTGCTTTATAAATATGCCCAAGTGATAAATATTACACTTTGTAGTTTTGTAGGTTTAGCAGAACAGTCTGAAATTTTGAGTATAGTTTTTGCTTAAATGAGGACTTTAAGCAAAATGTCTATCCAGAAAAATGTTTATTTTCTTACTTTTGAAACTTGAACAATGTGCAGTTGAACTGTCCAATCTTATATGCAGATTTTTTTCAGTAAGTGGAGTTATAGTACTGTATATGTATTTTCTCTTATGATTTTCTTAGTAACATTTTCTTTTCTCTAGCTTACTTTATTACAAGAATACAATATATAATACATGTAACACAAAAAGTGTGCTAATTGTTATCAGTAAGGCTTCTGGTCAACAGTTGGCTGTCAGTAGTTAAGTTTTTAGGGAATCAAAAGTTTTACATGGATTTTTAATCGTGCAGGGCATTGGCACCTCTAACCCCTATGTTCAAGGGTCAACTGTGACATCATTTCAAATCTCAATTTTATCTTATATTCATATAGCCCTTTTATAGTTTTCAAATCACTTCTCACCAGGACCCTACTATAAAAATAGGCTTTTCAAAAGATGTACAACTTAGCGTGCATCTTAATAATAAGCCTTTACAGGGGTGCCTGGGTGGCTCAGTCGGTTAAGTGTCCGACTTTTGCTTAGGTCATGATTTCGCGGTTTGTGGGTTCGAGCCCCGCGTCGGGCTCTGTGCTGACTGCCAGCCCAGAGCCTGGAGCCTGTTTCAGAGTCTGTGACTCCCTCTCTCTCTGACCCTCCCCTGCTCACGCTGTCTCTCTCTCTCTCTCCTAGAAATAAATAAAACATTAAAAAAAAATTAAAAAAAAAAAAAGCCTTTACAAATGTGATCTTGGAACATTCTTTTATTAAAAATAGATTGATTATACTTTTTGATATATAATTTACATATCAAAAATTGGAATATTTTTTAATTTCACTAGTATTTTCTGAGATAAAAATATTGGGCATTTTGCTAGACAGTAAACTGACCTAGTCTAACATTCAAAGAAAGTCTAAATCCACAGTGCATTATATAAATACCTAAAAGCTATTATCAGTTAGAGTTTTTAAAAACTTATTTTCTTATGGTTGTGAGAGCTAAGAAAGAGATAATGTATATAAAATCCCTGACACTATGCCACTCAAATATATTCTCACATTATTTATTTGCTTTGCTCTGCTTTGCTCCTCTGTTAAATATTTTAAACAGTAATTTCAATAAATCAGGAAGACTATTACATAAATTTACAGAGATCTTTAGGTAATCCAAATAGTATCGGTCCTTTATTTAAAATTGTTTTGATATAAAACTAATAATGAATGCCAGTGTACTGTGAATCACATGTTTAAGCTGGCTTAAATTTACTGAGATAGTAAAATTATTTTATTTATCTCCAGGAATCCATCAACAGTATCAAGGCCAGACTAAGCAAAAGTGGTCACATCCAGACTCTGCTTAGAGCATTTGAAGCTCGTGATCGAAATATCCAAGAAAGCAACTTTGATAGAGTCAATTTCTGGTCTATGGTTAACTTAGTGGTAATGGTGGTAGTGTCAGCCATTCAAGTTTATATGCTGAAGAGTCTATTTGAAGATAAGAGGAAAAGTAGAACTTAAACTTTAGACTATTTAACATAACGGAGAGATGGAAACATGTAATACACTTACAGTTAAAGCCAAGACCATTAATAGTCTTTTCAAAACATGTTTTCAGGTATTACCACAAGTGTGAATCAAGTATAATTTTAATGTGAAAGTAAAGTGTTGACTTTCATCATTGCAGGTAGTCTTATTGCTTCAGTTGTACTTAAGTATGTAACAAATATTTTGCAGAATACAGGTATAATTGAATGAAGCCATATTAATAACATTTTCTAAGTTTGAAAAAATTTTGCAGATGTCATAGGTGATTTAAATAAATGAGCTTTGGGCCCAAATGCAACACCAAACAATGTTTTTAAAAGATTCTCTTACCTAGAAGTTTCTTTATAAATGTGGCAATTATAAAGTAATTGTAAGTTTCCTGTGTAATAAGTTATAAATCATCTGAGAATTACCTAATCATAGGTTGGAATAATCTTTAGAAGACAAAAACCCAACTTTTCTTTTTATATATGTATATAGAGACATAACTGTGAAAAAGATTTGTGAGACTTTTATAACCAAATATATTTCAATCTAAAATATTAACAGAAAGTATTATAGACTTAGCTTAACATTCCCCAAAAGCCAATATTTTCATAATTCTTAAAATGCTCAGTCATTATTAAAATTTGGAAAAATTTTCTCTTTGAAATGAAATAGTTCAGTCTCCATAGGGACAAATTTTTGTCTAGTCCTTAACAAAGATCTAGAATTTTGAAATTAAATGTGAGGGAAAATAATTTTATATTATGTGTCAGCAGGGTTATGTTAATTTTAACATGATTACCTACTTAGATAATACATTACCAACAGTTGTGAAGGAAAATATTGCTTTAAAAATCTGGGCCTAATATAAATAAAGATCTCCTTTTCTGAGTTCTTAAAATTAATGACAACAACTAACAACTAACAAAATCTATGAAGAATAATTTAGGTAAGCTTGAGAACATAGGATCAAAATTAAGTTCACTTAAATAAAATGTAAATATCTAGAATCTGATTGATTCATTAATGACCCAATCCTTGATAATAATCATGAGACTAAATTCCAGTTAGCTGAGGAAACTATATTTGGCCATGGCTTTTATTTTTTACAGTTATTTTATTGTTTTGAATTTTAGAAGTATTCAGGTACATTTTATGAAACAAACTCTACTGTCAGATTTAGCACTGGGTATACATATAACAACTTTTATTATAACTTTCATTAAATGACTTTTCTGATAACTCTATTTATCGACATTCAAGTAAGGATTGGAAGCCTACAGAATTCCACATTAAAGTTGATATGTGAGTAACTTGACATAGTCTCTGATATCCTTGCTTATTGGGATCTATGGAATCTTAATCATATACTAGTAATTTAGCTATATTAAGTAGAATTTTTAGGTTTTACTGATTTGTAATAGTGGTTAAGATAAATAGGAGTTAGAAACAATCAAGTTACAAGTTTGAATATAGCACCCCTCTGTACATTAGTACTGCTCAAATTCTTAATAAGCAATGATATCAAGGGAATGGTTTATTAATTTACGGTCAGAATGGTACAATGGTAAAGATTTATTTCCCTCCTTCTTATGCCTCTTGGAGAACAAAGGTTAGATATCCCTACTCTGAAGCTTTTAAAAATGAGGATTGATTACCTTAACTGACCCAAGAAAATGCTTTTAAGTGTCCAGGAATAGCACCTGAAACACATGCAAAACAAAGGCCAACAATTGCCTATAAAGTCCCATTACCCTCTTCTGTTAAATTCATAATGAGAAGCAAACTTACCATACTATATCTAAGAAAACAGTTCAGATATAAACTACTGCATCTTTTCTACAAAACTGTGATAAGAAATCTACCTCTGGCTGGCTACTGTACTGTACTGATTCCTTACCTAACAATGAATTTGTTACATCATCTACGTATGATTCATGCCACTGATTTTAAACCTGTGATTCAGTAACTTCTTACCTTATAATGGCCTTATTTGGAAAACAAAGAATTTAGGAATATTGAGGACAGTTTTATTTTTATAGGCACAAAATGAAGAGTAGGATTAAGAATGTTACTTGTATTAACCAAAAAAAGCATAATTAGTGAACAAAGAACTAAATTCCTTAATATTTCTAAAGGCATATAGATTATCTGCCTCATGTGGTTTTTTAAATGTCAGTATTAAATTTTGAAATTAAAATTATGCTAAAATTAAGCTATCACATAATGGCTGATTTTGTCTTTGGGGTTTAGTTACATAAACTCTTAAAATACTGCAATATTTAAGGCCTAGAATTTTATTCTAATTTGCATTTGGGTCATTAATGATATGCTATTCTTTCATGTGAATGTCAGGGTATAGAAGGTGAATAAGTGGTTGAAATAGCAAGGAAATAAAATTACAAATTGAAATGTAATTTTAAGTATGTTTATCCTTCTTAAGCATTGTTATTATATCTTAAAATTAACAAAAATTGAGTACCTGTAATTGTGTGCCTCCCCAAATAAAAATTCTTTATCTGAAGTTAAAAAAAATTCAGCATGTAATAGCTTTTCATCTGAAGTGTAATACATAATGTTGCTCAAATTGCTTTATAGTCATGAACAGCCTTATTAAAAGAGCAATGAATACTATACTGAAAATATATAATAAAAATTACAATCAAAAAAAATTTTACTTATCTACTAGTCATTGTCAATGCTATGCCTTAAAACCTTCATTGATGTCATCTTGGCCATGTGTGCTCTCCCTTCCATTTGAAAACCCATAGTTCTCTGCACTTCCTATTGGAGGTCATTCTACCTTGCACTGGAGTTCTATTTATATGTGTTTTTATTCATCTGTTGCCCAAACAGGCATTGTAACCATAATAGGTGCTCAAAATATAAGGGAAAAAAAAATAAAGAGGCAAAGGTCATCACTTCTCAAAGTTTGGAATGCTAAATAAGCACCGTAAGAGCTTGTTCCACTCCTCTAACCCAACCCCAGATATTGAATGGTTAGGTTTCTAATAGGGCTCTAGAATCTTAATTTTTAACCAACACAACTTGGGAATCTGGTATCCATTATCCTTAGACCATTTGCTAACTGGGTGATCTTGGGAATTTGAGCCCATTTGTTTATAGAAACATTTTAGGTACAGCATCTTAAATCTTGGTTAAAATCACATGAAAGTCTAATGCTTGATGGAAATTGGTTTCTTAATTTGGTATTTCTTTCATACCATCCAGACAAGACACTCTTCTCCAACCTGACAGAATTCCTTAGGCATCTTTCTGCTTCTGCTACACTCCTATCACTTTTAGGTGTCTGGGTTTCTGGAAGGTTTGTGTCCTTAGAAACTAGAGCTAGACCATGCTTACTGTGTGTCTGGGAAAAGGGCACAGAATAAAGAATCCAGACCTAAGATGATGTTACATGAAAGAGAGAACATTGAGATGGGTCTCTGGATCCTTATATCTGAAAGAAAAAAGCAAGAAAATGCCAAACAGGGAAAAAATTGGAGGTCTTCAATGGCCATGAGTCAACAGCAAAATGAAGAATCAGTTATGCAACACTAAAATGAACTCCTTTCTATGTAAAGATAGACATATATACTTACTCCCCACTCCTGGAAGTTCTCAAAGCAGCAATAATAATCAGATGCCAAAGGTTCATTTCTACACTGGATATCAAGTGGGAGGAGGGACAAGGGACTAATAAACCTAACCTTTCTAGCCTACCCTTATTTCAATTCCAAAAGGACTAGAAATGCTATTTGTAGGAAAAAGCTTAAAGAAAAGGCCACAGCTTAAAAAAGACACATTTTAAAGTTCTATTTTGCTGGATTTTGCTTGGTATTCAAAACCAAATTGGAAACACAAACAAAAAATACCACTGACTCACTCCAAAGAAAATCACGTTTAGGTATAAATCTTAACAAAACATGTACAAGATCTGTATGCTGAAAATTATCAAAAGTTGGTGAAAGATTAACAATCCAAATAAGTAGAGAGAGATATGCCATGTTCCATGGATTGGAAGACTCAACATAGTACAATGGTCAATGTTTCCTAAATCTGTAAAATTAACATAATTCCTATCAAAATCCAGCAAGACTTTTTTGTAGACCGAAAAGCTTACTCTAAAATATATGGAAAGGCAAAAAACAGACCAGGATGAAAGGACTAAGACAATTTTTTTAAAGAATAAAAAAAATGAAGCATAAAGTCAACAGTAATCAACACTGTGTGATACTGGTGGAGGGGAAGACGCAAATTGAACAGAGATTCCAGAAATATACCAAACAAGTCCAACTGATTTTCAATAAAGATACAAAAGCAATACAAAAAAGATAGCCTTCTGAACAAATATGCTACAAGAATTGGATCAAACAGGTGAAAACATGAACTTTAATGTAAAAAAGCTATAAAGTTTTTCAAAAACTGACAAAATCTTCAAGACCTAGGGCTAGACAAAATTTTCATATTTGACACCAAATGCATGACCCATACAAGGAAAAACTGATAAACTACATCTCACAGAAGTAAAAACTTTTGCTGCACTAAAAATCCTGTTCTGGGGTTGAAAAAAGTAAACTACTCCTTATCTGCAAAAAAACTATACAGTTGACTCTGTGCAGTCCAAACTCAGCTTGTTCAAGGATCAACCTGTATAAAAACTTCTCAAGGCTCAAAGTAAAAAAAAAAACAAAAACAAATTGAGGGGTGCCTGGGTGGCTCAGTTGGTTACGCATCTGCTTCGGCTCAGGTCATGATCTCATGGTTCTTGGGTTTAAGCCCCGCATCGGACTCTGCTGACAGTTCAGAGCCTGGAGCCTGCTTCAGCGTCTGTGTCTCCCTCTCTCTCTGCCCCTCCCCTGCTTGTACTCTGTCTCCTCTCTCAAAAATAAATACTAAAAACAAAAAAAAAAATTGGTTACAAAAATGGGCAAACAACATGAAGAAACATGTGGATGGCATCATTAGCCATTAGGGAAATTCAAGTTAAAATCACAATGAGGTATCACTAACCTGAATGGCTAAAATAAATATTACCAACAGCTGAAACGGATATAACACTTTGTATCAACTAAGTTTTTAAAAAGTTACCAAATGCTGGCCAGGATGCAAGAAAAATTAGGTCACTCATACATTGCTGGTGGGATATAAAATGGTACTCACTAGAAAATATTTTAGCAGTTTCTTATAAAATTAAGCATGCACTTACCATTTAACCCAGCATTTATACTCTTGAATACTTAAACCTCAGAAATAAAAATGTTCATATAAAAAAATGTACAAATTATATACAGCAGCTTCATATTTAATAGCCTCAAACTAGACATAACTAACATGACCTTCAAAGAGTGAATGGTTGGGGCACCTGGGTGGCTTAGTCGGTTAAGCGTCCGACTTTCGCTTAGGTCATGATCTCATGGTTCGTGGGTTCGAGCCCCGCGTCGGGCTCTGTGCTGACTGCCAGCTCAGAGCCTGGAGCCTGTTTCAG